TGCCCCCAAGTGTTTGAGGGTGCGCGTTCAGCCCTCGGCAAGGACAGGTCGCCCACATCTGCTCTACCCTCTGCGTTATCTGCACCCGGCAGGGAATCGGACACTCACTAGTCCCTGCGGGGACTGCGATATACTTGAACGTCACAGAGAGGAAAAGTGCAATTGTACGTGGTTTTTGTTAATTATAAGTGCGGTGTGTGTGGATCATGAGATACGTATCGATATTTAAGATTGTCCTGTGTCATGTCCTGTTTGTATCTTTTTTTTTTTGGAAAATATATTTTATTTTTATACGTTTTATATATATATATATATTGCATAAGGGCATTCTAAAACATTGTATCCCCTCTATTTTTCATATCGTGAATGTCAAACGTTAAACTCTTTTTCCATACCTTTTTTAATCTTGCATTCCAGACTGGTGAAAGATGTAGAGAATGTATCAGCTGTTCTCCATGGGTAATATGTGAAATAAAATAAACACTATTCCATAAAACAGTTCTGTTATGTTGTCTTTAGTGGGGGCAGGTGGTCAAGATGAATGATTTCTTACTGTGTTCAGTCCTACCCTTACTAACCTAGTATGGCAGTTCTGTGACAGACTATAACTCTTCAGTTACAGACTTTGTTAGCAGCTACCTATCTAGTCAAATCAAGTAAACTCAAAAGCAAGCATGCATCTTAAAATCCCAGGGCAGATCTGTTGAGAAGGCTCTAAGGCCTTTTCTACCCACATGTTCCAGCCAGGGCTGAAACGTGTCACAGCTTGGATTGATCGTGCAAGTTTATTTTTTGCCCTAATTAATCAGAGAAACAACTGCACACTTCAACATTGCACAACAAAGTAACAGATTTATTGAGGGAGTATGTTCCAAAAATGGTCATGGCAGCTTCCAAGGTTATTTATGTTGAAGGATTTCCTGGGCCACAGTTCAGGTTAAAGTTAAATGATGACCGGTTCAGAGCGGGCAGAACATCTTGGATAAAAGCTTAGCATTAGGGATTTTGTTGTTTTGTTCTTTTTTTTTTTTGTTCTCTTTTTTTTTTTTAAAAACAAATTCCAACCACAGACCAGAAAACAAATGTGAAGCTGAACCTTATTAATGCACCACCAGCACCATCTATTGGTGTCTCCCCTTTGCACACCAAGAAAACAAACCTAAAAACTAAACAAGTGTATTTGAATAACATCTTGGGTAAAACATACAATTTCCCCTATTTTACAGTATCTCTGAACATAGTTAACATATACAGGAGAGGATTGGGGAACAGCAGCACTAAATGCTGTTAGAATAAATGAAGTGGGCATATTTTTTTACCTAATACTAAATGCCTAAGGAACATATATTTACAAGAAAAATTCAAAAGAACTGGCAATGACACCTCTCCAGGAATACTGCTGCAAAAAAGCTTGGGTAGGAATCCAGTTGACTAGATACCTGGCATATATTCATAATGATTTTTCTCCCCAAAGTTTTGAAGTTCTGCTCAGAATTGCCTATTTTTAGTTACTTTCCTAAACATTTTCAACTAAGAATTTTGGCATCTTGAGAGGTGGGTTTTCCACTTGAAATGTTCTTTTTTAAAAAAATGCATGTATATTGACA